TAAAAAATTAATTTTCCTCTCCCGGAAACTTCCTTCCTCCATGTCAATAACGAATCTAACTTCCCCTGCCAAGTGAGACGGATTTTCTTCCCTCTTGGCTGCCGCCACCGACCGCCCCTCTGGCCCTTTCGCCCTGCTCAGAGAGACTTATTTCCTGCCGATCCCCTGTCGACAGAGGAACGCCCTTGCCTTGCGCCCCGTGCAGACCGATCTCTCCTCTTCAATTCCCACTCCCGCGCTGGACTAAATCCTCTTCTTTCCATCCCCTGCCCAACGAGCTCTCCTCAACTTTGCTTCGCCTTCTTAAGCTCCATTCCCTTCTTTCCGCTTAACACATCTCTCAAGGCTTTCCGCTTGCGCCAACAGACGTGATACACTATTCTCCTCTTCTTGCATCTCGCTCTCCCCTATGCACGCAAGGCCCCTCTCCCCTGCTCCAACAGACTTTGCTCTCATCACCAAGACACGTCGTTCCCTTGCGCCACTACTCTAACCACCTGGTGCCCGTCCCTGTTACTAGTCCCCTACCACATAATCCCCATTTCCCTTGCCGTCTCAAGAGCACCTTCTCCTCCCTCCCCCCGCTACTCCAATCGCCCTCAGCCTTGCCACAGACCCATCGCTCCCTACCACAAAGGCCCGCTCGCTCACCCTTGGCCTACGAGACTCTACGTCATCATCCTCATCCCCGCCATGCACCAATCCTCTCTCCATTCCTAGCCATTCCTCTGTCAAGAATCTCCCCGGGACCTGCCTTTCCCTATCCCGCCAGGTTATCTTTCTTGACCTGACAAGACACACTCATCTTAGGTATCACGTCCTTCTCTGACGTTCTCTCCCTGCGGTTTCTTCATTTCACAGTTCTGTCTCAGCTTCTTTCTATTCTTCCATCCTCCCCTGCCCATTTCCATGCTCTGCCACCGCACTCCTGTCCTTTCTTCTCGTCGCTTCGTCACGCTCGTCGAAGAAATTCTCTCTCTCTCTTATACTCCTACTCTCCCTTTACGCTCTCCTCCTTCTCCCGTCGTCTTCGGGTCCGTCAGGCGCATGTCGGCCTCTCTCTCCGCAGCGCAACACCGACATGGGCAGGCCACAACCACCGCCGCGAACACCGCGGCAACACTTATGATGTACGCTGATTGCACGGCGGCGGTAAATGTTGGCCTTGGCTTTATTGCGGTCCCAGCGAGGCGCGGGCGGGGTGGATGCCGGCGGCCGAGGCAGCGTGCCGCACGCCTTAGTGCCGCCAGATCAAGCTTCCAGGGCCACGACGCAGCCCAATCAGCAAAGCCAGCGGGGGGGGGGAGAGAGGAGAGACGAGAGAGAGAGAGAGAGTTAGAGAGAGGGCGAGAGAGAGAGGAGAGAGAGAAGAGAGAGAAGAGAGAGAGCAGAGTCAAGAGAGATAATGAAAGCTGGGCATCTGCTGACAGGCTAGCTGCTGAACGCACCCCGGGTGGTGCTGACTGGCTGGGGGGCATGCGAATTACCATGCAATTGGCCGAATGACAATGGCATTGATAATATGTATTGGGTGAGGGAATGTCAGTCGGGGTAAAGTCTATACACCTGTACTATGGAGCGCAGTTACGCCACACAACGTTATACCGCCCGCCCGCACCTGCACACACACGCGCGCGCTTCTGCACGCACTGCATACATATCGTTGGTCCACAATACCCCCCCCTCACACAACAAATATAAAAGACGCCATAAACACACATTCAAACACGCCATGAGGTTATATACATAAACACATGCACGTCATAGGCTCACACACCATCTCTCATACCATCTCCACACACTAAAGCATGCCATAGACAAATACTAATACACGCCCCAAGTTCCTTACAACCTCCCACCTACACAAATACAACGCGCCCACACTCATTCATACCACCTCCCTCCCCACCTCACACACCTACAAACCCGGCTCATAGTACATATACATACAGCTCCCTGCCCCCGCCAACACCACTAATACACGTCCTCACTCATTCACACACAACCCCCCCCCTATTATCCACACCCACACACTCCACCCGCCTCGCATTCCCACGCCCGCGACGCGGCGCAGCCCACAAGCCGCGACGACACCAAAGCCGCGAAACACAAAGCTCGACTTTCCTCATTTTTCTCTGATCAAAAACAGTTTCCGCGGGGCTGTCGTTCCTCCTCTCCTCCTCCTCCTCCTCCTCCTCCTCCCTCCTCCTCCTCTCCCTCGCCTCCTCCTCCTCCTCCTCCTCCTCCCCTCTCTCCTCCTCTCCTCCTCCTCCTCTCTCCCCTCTCCTCTCCGGCCCGGATTAAAACGTGTCATGGGATGCCCGCGCCTCTATGGTCCTCTGCTGGAAGGCCGGGAATTGCGTGTCGTTCCCGTTAAGATGTGAGAATCGACAGGGAGGGAAGGGGGCAATCTGCAGCAACAACGTGATGAGAAAAATAGTCTCTCTTTTTATTCACTTTTATTCTTTGGTGGTGGGGCTTCAAGAAAAAAATGATTGTCCCAGCGTTCGCAGTTTCAAACAGCAGATGCGACTAAAGGAGGATAATAAAAAAATCGCGAAAAACAAAATCACGAATTTCTCGCAGATTCTAGCCCCTACTACCTCCCCTTACCCCCCCCCCTACAAAAAAGACACAAAAAGGGGGAGAGGCACTTAGGGGTTCCAATCTCCAGGATAAATATCGACGCATATTTTACGCGGGGCAGCATTATCCCCGAAACCCCCGCTTGCCATCCTCAGACTGTCAACAGAGCGGGGCGCGGCGGGACCCCTCGGCAAACACGGCTACGACAACATGGCGGCGCGAAGACAGGCCCCAGCTCGGCCTTATTTCCAGACACGCCCATTTCCCAGGAGAGATTACCACGCAGGGAGAGAGAAAAAAAAGACAAAGAAGAAAATAAGAGAAAGCGAGAAAATAAAGGAAAATGCTCCTTTTTATCTCATGTTTTTTCTTGCGCATTCCCGATCGCTGCTGTTTCACTGGGCAAGCAAGCAGAAAGTCAGACAAGACGTAATAGATCAACATTCTGGATGAACTTACCTCACGCTCTCCCCACCTCTTGCCCGGGAGCGGATAAATATAGAGCGCTAGAAAGAAAGCCAGTTCCAAACAAACGGCAGACACAGACGCACAATATATAAATAAATAAATAGTTTCCAAACTATAAACGCAAGTTAAAAAACAAAACAAGTAAACGAACAGTATAAATCACATACTGCAAACGCAAAAACAAGTTCTTTCAACAAAACAAACAAACGTCACATTCACACGCCACTATTCACTCCCCCCCCCCGCCCCCCACCCAGGCCAGGTCACGTCAGGTCAGTCCCAGGTCAGCGAGCAAGGAAGCTGACACGTGCGAGATTAACAAGTCGTCGATAACGTCGATACGGATCATCTGGGATTTTATAGACCTCGCTGGCATTATCCACATTAGTCTCAAGAAAACCATTCACTCGCTCTCCTTCGACCGGCGCCTTCTGTCATCCGATGAAAAAGGGAAGGAGATGAAAGGGAGAAAGAAAAAAAGAGGAAAAAAAAGAAAGGTGCGAAAGAAGACGTCTCGATGAAACACAAACATGCACAAAGGATGAAAGCGGCGAGGGAAAGAGTAGGAATTAGGAAAAAAATAAATAAAACGGGGGAGATGCATATATAAGAAGGGGAGAGGGGACAACGAGGGGAGGGGGAGTACTAAGACGGGAAAAACAATGGTAAAGTACTGGAGGAAGATTGGAAGAGGGAAAAAATGCCAGTGAGATTAGGTTGGGCCACCGTGCTGATAAGAGGAGGACACATTGTATTCTCTCTCTCTCTCTCTCTCTCTCTCTCTCTCTCTCTCTCTCTCTCTCTCTCTCTCCTCATCTAATCCTCCCTCCTCTCTCTCTCTCTCTCTCTCTTGCGATCTCTCTCTCCTCTCTCTCTCGCTTCTCTCTCTCTCTCTCTCATTTCACACACTTCTACACGATTCGCACTCTAATAAAGCTGTAGAAAAACAAAAACACATTCGCGAGGCATAATTTTCCTGATGTCATGCACAAACACACAAGCCATGCCTCCTCCTGCTCATCGCCGCCCGCAGTAGTCGTGGGCGCGCGGCGGTTCGCCCTCCCGGCTCCGAACCCTGGGCCATGAGCCGGGCCTGCGATTCCCGGTTCTGGGTGTCAGACCATGAACCAGGCAGCCCCTGTCATGAGGCATGGGTCAGCCCTGCCGGGTGTTGTGACGTGGAGTGTGGGTCAGCCCATCGCGAGGGGAGGGAAACGTGGCAACACTGCACTTGGGCAGATATGGCAGCGCCGGTGTAGATCAATACACATCTTTTCTTAAAGAGTTAGATTTGATTTTGACGTCCGGGTACATAAATGGCCTCCTTGGCGTGCTCTCAGTCCTTTGCGTGGTGCCCCTCCTTCGGGAAGAGGCACGTCGAGGGCCCGGCCAGGGGGTTGGGCCAAGAGGCGCCGGCACCCACCTGAAGGGGATCCTATTAAGACTGGTCCCGGCGACACATCATCCTACCCGCATCCCCTCACGCCGCGGAGATCCTTCTCGAGGAGACTGAGATGAAGTTAAGACGGACGAGCACAGACTCCTCGCTGCCAGGCCGTGACGGAGCCTTCTGGCTAGGGGGCGGGGAGAAAACTGCGGACGCACACGCACGCACATGCAAGCAAAACATACATACGATACGCAAGCACACTTGTCTGTATGTGGCGCATGTATGATTGCAATTACGTGTGCGTATGTGGGAATAAACATGCGTTAATCCCTGTGTGTGTATGTTGGCCTGCATATTTACGGTTGTTGGTCTCCAGTGACGGCCTCTATAAGCACCAGGTTAGTGTGGATAAATAATTTACACAGTTGAAAAGGATATCTCATGTTCTGAGAAAACACAAAAATGTAAACGAAAAGATACATACTTATCTGTTTAAATCTATCCATCTATCTATCTAGATTTCTATCTATGTAAGGAAACATGTTTTTAAAATATA